GCTCGTGCTCCGTTTAAAAAGCCGATCGGCTATTTCGCAATTACCTTTGATGGTATTTATCCCGTCTTGTATCCTCCAGAAGAGGCACGGACAACTTCCCCCAGTCCCAGACCCGAGATGTGAAGCAGATGGTGGGGCTGGGCACCCCTTTTGCATCGTCCCTCCCCAGGCCTCAGCTGCTATTTCAGGTGCTGCTGATGTAGAGATGCAGCCCTGGGACCGCTGTGGTACGGCATGTCCCAGATAGTTTCTAACTAGTAGAAACTAGAAACGCTGAGAGTCTGTCGGTCTTTTATGGTTCCCATTGAGGAATACGAGAAACACTCGGCATAAATGACAGATGCTTTTTAGACAGACTGATTCATAGCAAGGTTAATTGGGAGCATCAGGAGGGAGCGTATTGTTGGGTTCAAGAGAGAAAGAAGGAACATATCCGACAGTCGCTGGGTTGTTTTTACTGAAGTCCGGTTTCTGTCTTTGTAGGTCAACAACGTGGGTCAGTACCCATCCGGCTGACACAGCAGTCTCTTTGACAATAGAACGGGCCTATCTGGCCATTCTGAACTGTCACTTTGGACATATTTGCCACCATGAATGGGGTTATGGGAAGTATGCGATGTGGACTCCCAAAGGAGCATTTGGATAACATCCAGTTCAGAAACAAAAGGGTCTTTGATCCAAACTGATCACCACAAAGATCCAAACAGCGCTCTCTCTTTGTCCACATCACGTGCACTCTGGGCCACATTGACTGGATGTCCTTCAGTCAGCTGGAATAGTTGCTGACAACTTTATAGGCCACTCATGTCAACGTGTACCGGATTATGGGTTTAAAAGTCCGTGGAGTTTTTTGGCAGATTGTTTGCTTGGAATGTATCGACAATCGGTTATTATTTTTAATCAGCATTACTCTATTGTTTCGTGTCGTGTCATTTCTCAACACATTGCACAGGTGCTCTCATCTCCCCGGTTTGAAAGGGATCACAGTGGGCTTTGATGCCTACTCAACACACACACACACACACACACACACACACACACACACACCCCTTGGCACAGAGGCCTCCACACGTGTTTACCATACAGATGACCTCAGAACGACAGGAATGCACCATGTAGTAGTAGAGAGACACTCGCTATGACAGTAAGATGGATCTAACTTTCGTTTCCTGTGGTTAGCTTTTTAAAGAAGAGGTCCTGTGTGCTGGTGTGGTCGTGTTAGTTCTCTAAAAAAACAGCTGATGTGGCAGGGGATTTATATGAAGCATCAGAATAATCAAACGGAGCTGTTTGGCTGTCCTCAAACACTGAAGTGACTTATTTATTCATTCAAATGGATAAGATAACTTCTCTTATGTAATTGTCGGGCCATAATCGAAGGCTAAGATGGCCTATCTACGGGCTGCTGCCTGTTTTTTTAAAATAAATTACAATATGGCTTGAGCATCTTTCTAATAAATTGCATTGTTTGTAAACGGCAGAGTTTAAAGACCAGATATCGACTACATTTGGTGAAATTATCTCTTAACCTCTAATAATCTACCATTTCTGCCTGTTTATCTCAGATTTAAATCTTCCATTTACATTTGCATCACAATCTTTTAAGTGGGCCCGTAGGCCATTAACAATAATTAATATAGGTATTTGGCAATTTCTTCCTGTTAAAACTTTACTTATTTGCAGATTTTCACATAACATTATAATATTTTAAGTGGGCGGTTAGGCCTGGCACTGTATTTAAGTTTAAACATATTGAATTCATTTAGAAGATACAGAATATCTTTTTGTAATATGTGGGCACACTAGTGAACGCCTGTAATATTAAACTGTTTAATAGTATTGTGTAGTTATTTTGATAGAAAACGCACTTACTATGGCACACGGGGTAGAAACACTGATTTTCTTGCGGTGTAACTGGTTGGGAACTACACATTTAGTTTGACCTGTGATATATATATATATATATATATATCTGTCAAAAAAGTTTAGTTTTATTCTGGTTAAACCTCCACTGATGATCATCACTGATACTATCATTTTGTCATGTGACTGCATTGAAATTCACAATGAGCCGTCACAGAGAGCTGTAGGCGACCGAAAGTTTCCTTCTTAACATGCTGATGGCGGCATATTGAAAGCAGTTTTGAGAAGCTTAGATTTCTGATAGGAAACCTAAAATAGAGAGACAAATACTGCGGCCGTGACCCTGTTTTGACTCTGTTGTTACAGCTGAATTTTCTTAACACAGTCTAGTTTCAGGAAGTGACAAACCTGTCATTTTCTCTGAACAGGTGGTTGCCTTTCAACATGAATTCCTCTGTCCTTCAACTTGTTACTACAGCTTCAACGGCCAGTGTTTGAGATGGAAAATGAATGATTTAATGAGTTTCCGTGTGCAGTCAAGAATGTAATTGTGTTAAATGATCCAGTACGCTCCTTTGTGTTAGACCCACGGTAGCTTCGTTTTAATCCCCACATCCTCTGGAGATGGAAGCAATTGCGAGGTTCACCCATTCATCATAAAGCCCTGGTGGACTTTAAGGCAGTCCCAGTTAAAGCAAACCTCATTCTCAGTGCTCATTGTTGGCCTCCCAGTGTTGTTAATGGCCTGGTGTTCTTGAAGTGGAAGTTTTAAAGTTCTTGATTGCAGTCGACCCTCTGCTTTGCTGTTGAAATGCTCTCGTCCAGGTTATTGATGTCCGTGGTGCACTGTGAGTTTAACTGCTGTAATAAGCATTTAATTTAGATTCAGTATTGCTGAGACGCCTTCCTTTTGTCCCGTCTGTCTCTGTCTAAGTGGTTTATTTCCTCGCGGGTGCCAGAGGGAAGGAGCTGCTACTTACTCGATGTAAATTGTTAATTTATCAAGATTGTGAAAAGACTTAAAACTGATGAATGGAGCGGAGCCCTTTGGTAATTTGATTACTGCATTAGGGGGCGCGTGCCCATGCACACACACACAAATACAGCTCGCACCCGCTGTTGACTGGAAGCTTTCTTATTGAGTCAGCAGTAGATTGGCCATGAAGTAGCTCCACATCCTGAACAATTGATGGCCTTCCATAAAGGTTCTCAGGGATATTTTGGCTTCCTTTACGAAGGCATTTGTTGCTGTCTAATTGTCTCGTCACATACTATACAGTATTTTTGTTTCAGTCCACTTTACTTCCATATTAATTAGAGTATTCATTAAGCAGCAGGTTGATCCAGATTCCACTCGTTGTGGTTCCCCTTGCTCTTGTTTAATGAAGACTCTAGTTCCAGTGATGTTTGCTACATCATTGGAGGTTCACAATGGAAATCAGCTCATCGTCCTTCATCATTTCAGCAGGTGGTCAGACTGACTGAGCGCTATTGCCGTAAATAGAAAGGTGCACAATTACAGGAGCAAACAGTAAGTTGGAAAACGTATGTTGCAACCAGCGTGTGTCAGTGGACACAGATCTCACAGTCGTCAAAGGAGGAAAAATAGTCAGTGCTCAAATTACAGTTTATTAGCCAAACCAAATGGTCTGATGTGGCCACTTGAAGCTACTGAAGCACTGACAGACACTCAAATGCACAAACGATGACGAGCAAAAACCAACTGCTGCGTTGTAACTTTCTGGAAGCTGTTCATTTTATTCAGGAGCTGGAAGACTGTGCAATATAAGAAGACACTGTGTTAAATAGACAGTGGAGAGTTAAAGCACTGCTAATACTCCTGCACTGCACTTGGTTTTCCTCTTAAGGCGATCAATGCCGAAGAAATCAGATACTCATAATTCACTTTATTGAGGTTTGAATCTATTCTCAAACGGATGCAATACCCTCTTATGAGTTCTTGTTCTTATATTAATATACATATTGGTGTTTGCATTATCAATACCACACTGACTATAAGTGAGGACAATACGATGCACATTAAACTATGCCCTGAACCAATTATCTCGTCCTGTTCTGCTGATCTCAGTACGGCAAAGAAACGGCCATTAAGACCTTTTTATAATGGCACCTGGTCCAGGGAGTTGTACAAACGGTGTGTGAAGGCATGTTGCAGCCTTCAGTGTGTTTTGTTTTTAAAATGAAGGATCTCTCTGTTGCTGTCTGTGTGGCTCTAAATCACCTCATTAATCTGTTTCCTCTGCCGAAGATGTCTGCCTTCCATAAGGACAAATCCATTATACATGGCCCTGGCCAGAGACGACACACAGATGAAACAATTTGTGTATGCGTGTGTGTGTTAGGTCCCAGTTTTCATCCTGAGGATTTAAATTTCAATGAGGGGTGCTCTGACAGGCGTGATTCCTCAGAAAGGACCTCGGAGGGTAATTTACCTGTTTAAGTGTGTGTGTGTGTGTGTGTGTGTGTGTGTGTGTGTGTGTGTGTGTGTGTGTGTGTGTGTGTGTGTGTGTGTGTGTGTGTGTGTGTGTGTGTGTGTGTGTGTGTGTGTGCGCGCGCGCGCGCGCGTGTGTGCCCAGTGCTATAACTCTGGGTGTGTTGGGAATCGGGTTCCATTCGTCCTGGCGATATTTTCCACCTTAATGAAACACCTGAGACCAGTTATGCCAACCTCGGCTCTTTACATGCATTCAGAAGACCTATAACTGATAATAAGCTGCATCGGGCTGCTCTGTAGTACTGATGTCACATATACATACTGTACTGTGACTATATGTCTTGCTGATTCTTTGACTTTTAACCAATGTATTTTTGTATTTATGATGGTTGCATGCTGATTTGTAAATCTGAGCTGTGCACTTAAGTAGTTTTGGAAGATTTGAGAGTGTTTTCAAATGTAAGAACAGTGGTCAAACCTACGTCTGTTTCATTTATAACCGATGATAACTGCCACATTTAATCACCTGTAGCTAGTTGATGTCCATGAGTTGGCCACACTAAAACGTAAAGCTACAATCCTTATGCTGATGGTTTCCTTGTCGAAACAAAACTCTCATTTCTCATCCTACAGCTTCTGGCTGCATCCTAATCTATTTGTTGTGTTCCTTGGTCTCCCTCAGAGATCCGGGCCCAGCTGGTGGAACAGCAGAAATGTCTGGACCAGCAGACGGAGATGAGGGTCCAGCTGCTGCAGGACCTCCAGGATTTCTTCAGGAAGAAGGCAGAGATCGAGATGGAATACTCCAGAAACCTGGAGAAGCTGGCCGAACGCTTCATGGCAAAGACGCGCAGTACCAAGGATCACCAGCAGTACAAGTGAGGAGACGCGTTTGTTTATGATGTCATCGAAGCTTTTAGCCCATTATGTCACAATGACTTGACTGGAGAGCTTCAAAAATGATCTATGACTTTTCACATGTGCCACAGCACTGTATTGTACAGGGCGGTAGAATTTGCAGCAGAATCTCCGCTTTCACTCTAATCTCTATTGGAAACCACAAAACGCCTTTTCAATATAATACATGCAGTGCAATGTCGATATCTACATTTTAATACTATACTTGGGGCATATTTCGGTCGCTACTGAAGGAGCATTTATTTTATATGTTATTCTCTTGCCCTACTTGTGCATGCTCACTGAAAATAGAACAATGTTGCGGTGTCATTTTGAGAAAAGTATTCGAGAAGTGGAGGAAGAAACTAAGCCTTGAGTTTAATTTGGTCTTTGTCTCATAGACTCATACCATAAGTACCTTTTTAAAAAAAGATCTAATGAAAAGAGATTCTTCATCAAACTGATTAGAGGAAGTTGGTCTCCCTCCCTCACCACCTCTCTCCTGTCTTCATGGTGCATCACAGCTTGACTCTGAGCCCCTTTGACACAATTAAGCGAGCTGTAGTTGTTGGCCGTGTTACACTGTAGGAGTCTGCTCATGGGAAAAGCTGGCATTAGCATATTGTTTGAGCTTGTGGTGGGAATGAAAATACGTGTGTTTCTCCTCGCCGTCTGCAAATAGCCCTCCTGCGCTCTGTCTGCAGCTTCGATGGCTCTAGCAGCTGCGTGCGCTGGTGAAGGGACTCTGGTGTGGCGCTCTGTGGTTTTCATCGCGTGATGCACAGTCTGGTCACTTCATTCACAGGGTAAACATTTGGCAAGTGCCTAGGAGCATATTTCTTAAGTAAATACCAGATGTCTGAATAACATTAAAAAAACCTTCCTGTGGGTTTGAAATCATTTGGCCTATATTTTTATACTGGCATAAACGCCACACGTACAGTAAGGCTTCTGTGCTCTCCGAATTCTCTCCGTTGGTTTCGTTGGGCGGACTGTAGCCTAAAGCCACTATTCATATGACAGGTCAGCTAGGCGGAGCTGCAAAAATGCTAAAGTAGCATTAAATGAGTAGCTAACCCTGTGGGTAATTGGTCTAAAATAAACTGCATTCAAAAGGGGTCCGCTGTCGTAGCTGTCAGTGGAGCTGCATGGTGTTCATGAGATTATAGCTGGGCCTCTGCTGGTGGAGGGGAAATATTTGTTCTATTGCACCACAAATGCATTATATCTCATACAGGTCTAAATCTGCTGTGCTCTCTCGTGCTCCTACCAGCTTGGTAACGTTTTTTGGCCCAGTAGGAGTTCAGCTTTGAGCCACCTGTTGGAGCGTTGCATTAGCTCACTGCTGGAGAGGAACTCATCTGGCTTCATGGGAAGTGCCCTTTGTTGAGCTGTACTTCAGTGAAGATGGATATTTTTAATGACACATTCTTAATTTTATTACACTCGTTTTGAAGGGAGATATTAAGAGCAGATTAACAATCTGATTCATATTTAAAGTGATGGCCTAAGAAAAAAGCCTGCCGAGTCTCCTTTTTATTAATAATGCCTCTATTGCCTATGATAATATGCCCAGTGTAAACACGCTAGTCTCTTTGCCACATTGAGAAGATACTGCTGTCTGTTCTGCAGCAGGTTAGTCTCCACTTGTTTGCAAAACAACATTTTAACAGCTGCGAACACTTCCAGCTTCCTTGACAAAAACACTCCTTTTAAGTAACATGTAGTAGACTGTGTTTTTTAACTGATGTGACTATAACGCTACATTAACTACAATTACATGAAACGTTGAATTTCATATGAAGAGACCTTTGTGTGTTTATTTTATTTCCTCTTCATTACCACCAGAGGTAAATGCAAAAAACAACAACAACAAAGAGTCTCAGTTATAATGATAATTAGGTGCTAGAAAGTTGAGTCAGGAAATTTTACAAAGCACAAGCTATTGACATTATGTTCAAAACGCAACACGTCTGTGTGAGCTGTTGATAAAGGCTTTCGGGCGGCATACATCAGTGGGTTTGGATATAAATGGCTGTTAATGACCGCGAGGAAAAAGTTCAATTCTACTAGTGTCGTCCTATTTCCTTCCTGCGAGAAAACAAAACAGAGCCACATCTCGGTATCCAGGCCACAGCGGCAGGCTGTGGGAGAGCCATTCATTCCGGTCTGCTATGTCCATTTGTGTTTCAGTGGCTGTTTGCACAACACACACACACACACACACACACACACACACACACACACAAACACACAAAGGAACGAATGTGGGCAAACATTCTCCTCCGTCTCTCTCGCTCTTTCTGAAAAACACACTCGTGCACTCACATGCACACAACCAAATACTGTATTATGCAAAGTTTGTTTAGGGAGGGGCCTTATGTATACTGCCAAAGAAATGGCTGCGATGATCTTAAATAGGCGTCTTTTATCCTGAATTAAGTGTCTGGTTTAAAGGACTTCCTGTCTTTGTCTGCGAGGATAAAAAGAAGCCGTAGAACATGCTGTGGCTGCATACTGTATATACGTTACAATCTCCACCGCATTCAGCTTGAGTGGCAAAGAATAAAGTTGAATAAAGTTAAACGCAATTTGTTATTCACAGAACTACTTGATTAGAATCATTAATTCGGCTTTTGGCACCCTGCGGCTTGCTTTTCAATTTCCAACTTTAACCTTTCTTTACGTGATATTCTTGGTCCGAATCAGACGGGCAGCGGTCACTTTGCTTTGGTACAGTAGCAGCAACTGTGTGATTACTTTGCAGGTGAACGCCACGCACTGTGCTGCAGCAATAAAAGCCGCCACAGAGGTTCATTAATGGATGTTATCAGTCGGGCACTAGAGGACTTTGCCATTTTGCCTCCGATGCTGATGAGGGCTGCCGTTTCAATACCCTGCATACTGAAGTAGTGATTATCCTTCATTGTCGGCATCCTGCTACGTATGTTGACGTTTACTCAGTGACTCCTGGTTTTAAACTGCGTGAATAGACAGAACAAAAACGCACATTAATAGGAACCAGTGAGTTATTTTTCCTCACTCGTGTCCCCCCCTGGACATTAGTTTCCTCTTTCATACCTGTGTTTTAGCCCCTCGGGTCCCGCCTGTCTGTCTGTAAGTCTGTCTGACCCGGTTCCTGCCCTGGCTGAGGGGGAAATGATGACATTGAGAGATTTTCCTGCCATTATGAGGGGCGAGCCACTCCCAGAGGTTAATTTGTCGTCACGGCCTATGTCAGTCCCCTCCCCTCGTTTTCATGTGCTGTCTTCGTTTTACTTCAGGCCTCCGGTTTGTTTTAGGCTACAGCCACACTAATATGTTTTCGGTGCTTTAAAACTCCCAAGTAGTTTGGACGCTCGGTGTGAAACGTACTAAAAGATATGCGTTATAAAATGGAAACGTGGTAGTATGGATGTAGCCTTGGTAGTTTATCCCTGCTATGATGTGAACTGTTATGCATCCTCAATCAAGTTATCTATTAAACACGTGACTGCTTTGGAAATCCAGGAGGTTATTTTATGCGCTTCTGCAGAGGCTCATGATGTGCGATGTCCAGCTTCATGTCAGTGGCCACCTGGATATTATGCATCTGCACATGCAAAAATGAGCATGAATTAATAAACATGTATGCGCACACACACACACACACACGTGCCATCTTCACATATCTAGATTCAGTGCCATGGAATGTAAGTATTGCACTCAACTGATGCATAATGGAGAAAGGACTTATGATAATTGCTCTTTGTGTGTGTGTGTGTGTGTGTGTGTGTGTGTGTGTGTGTGTGTGTGTGTGTGCTGCTGTGTCCAGCAGTCCCGCTGCTGTAGCTCTGGGGCTGCTCCACTTATTTTCTCCTTTTCTAGCCTTCTCTTCCTTTGCACGTGTCCTGTAGCCTGGGCATCTTTTAGCTAAATCATTTTTTTTTCATCCACCAACTTCCTGGTGTCTTTGAAAAGCTTCTGTGCTCTCGGATGTTTTTCATGTCAGCGTGTTTGGCTCTGCCGTTATCAAATGCAGTTTGCTTCCTGTTTTTTTGCAGTCTCAGGGAACATTTCAGCTGGTTGGGATGTTTATGTCAGTTATTCATTTGAAGAAATGCTCTGTTTTTTTTTTCTTCAGCAAATGGGCTGAATGCTAGTTCAGGGCTGGGTCACTTGCAAGCGAGTGCAGAGTTTCACCTGTTGTGTTGACAAGTGCTGCCTGTCTATGCTATCTAAATCTGTGAGGGGAGAGCAGAGGCGAGTCTACATATGGTTCCTGCAAGACTTGATCCCCGGATCCACCTTAACACCTCTCCCTAATATACACACACTGATATTCTGTGCAGGCAGGAGGAATGTTGTAGGTTAACCCAGAGGAAGTCGGTCTGCAGGCCAGAGCTTATGTAGGGCCCCAGCTTGCTCTGGTCTGGACAATGTCCTACAGTTAGTGTGGAAGCAGCCGGCACACAGCACAGGAAATGGCTCTCATGCTCTACTATTTCAGTCTTTCTTTTCTTTTTTGCACCCAGCACTCTATCTTTCCCCTTTGCTGTGACGTCTCCTCCCTCGCTCGTCTGTCGTCTGCTGTCACATTTCGCACGTAATTCTACTTTTCAACCTGAAATACATCCATGGCTTCTCCAACTTTATTCCACTAAGTGTATTTAAAGCCTGTGGCGCACTCGTCTCTGGTCGAAGGAAGTCACCTCGGCTCAGAGCATTGCAAGAGCACTGCCCCAGAAATGTTACTGATGCAAAGTATTTCGTAGTTCGTGTAATATATGGAGAGCTTTTTAGGGCCAGAACCAGCAGTATGTAGGGCATTTAACATCAAGGGATGCCTATGACGCATCTCTCTTCTGCTTTCGTAACAGGTCCTGGTGCACTTGTGGTGCTTGTAGACCTCCTGCTAGTGGAGAAACTGCCACAATTTCCTCGCTAAAATGACAAATATTGACTTAAGAGGTTTGAGCTGAGACAGAGGCTCAGAAATATGTTGAAATGCACCAACACGAACCACAAGCGCATACGGATACTTGAACGCGCCTGCATGATCCGCTAAACTGCTTAACTATGGAGCGGGTTTTCAGTCTGTGATAATGTGTGTCCTTCTTTATTCATGCATTGCACATTGTGACTCGACACACAAGAAAATGCTGAGTCATCCAAACATTCTACACAACCAATTCTCTCCTACACACGCGAATAGTTCCTCCCTCTAATTCTTGTTATTAACATGTCGGAGATTACACCGATATATTCATGTTCCACATCGATCTTTCGACTGCTGATCTGACACCTGACCGGTTCCCTGTTTTTATTCAGGAAAGACCAGAACCTGCTGTCCCCCGTCAACTGTTGGTACCTGCTGCTGAACCAGGCGAGGAGGGAGAGTAAGGACCACGCAACACTGAGTGACATCTACCTAAACAACGTCATCATGAGGTTCATGCAGATCAGTGAGGACTCCACACGACTACTCAAGAAGGTGAGCGTGATCGCACTAGAGCTAAATATGATTGGCAGGGCACTTCTTAAGGGAGTGTGCGCACACACACACCCGGCCACACACACACACACACACACACACCCGGCCACACACACACACACACCCGGCCACATTTTGCTCATAAAATAGTGTGACAACTATAACTGACGTGACTAATTTGTTTTAATGGGGATTCTTTCTATTTCTATATGGCCACCAGAACTAACCCACTTTAACTCTCATCCTACCAACAAGGACTGCCGACTGGGGTCCCAAAAAACTCCCAAAATATACTACTGTATACACAAGAAACAACCTTCATAGTGAAATGTTGAATTATTTATTTTCAAATATTATTAGTTATCTAATTATTGTTTTAGGAAAGTAACAGTTAATTTGCATATTTTGGGAAAGGAAAATAGACGGAGCACATGAGGAAATGTGTGTCTGTCGCCTTTAAAATGACAGAGTGCCCCTTCCCCCATGATAGTGTGCGGTACTTTAAATCAGGACCCATGACAAACATCTATCTCTTCTATTTCATCTATTAAAACTGCATGGGCTGCAATTGTGTGCTTTTGATCCAATACATTGGTATTTTTAAAAAGGCACTAATTGAAAGAGAAACACAAATCAATGATATGAAGTCATTGGTAACAAATTGATTAACAAAGTCCTAAAAAATAGGAATGATAGAATAAAGCATCTGTGAGATATGACACCTCTAGTAATTATGAAGTAATCTTTCAGGTCCTAAAGTTATTTTCCAATATGATCAAACATAGTGCTTTGAGTGCTTTGTGGTTGGAAAGGTTAAAAAAAACCTGGCTTTTAGGTGTTTGGGCTGACAGGGATCCTAAAAACATTAACAGACTGAAAAAAATCAGACAAAATTTGAAATGAAAGAGCTGACGACAACGAATTTGTAAAGTCTGGAGAAATGTGGGATGTAACATGCAGGGTACAAGAAGGTTAAAAAATCCATTTGCACTAAATTAAACGTTCACCTATTGGAACACACTCCTCATTTCACTCTGGTCTAATGTGAATTATGTTCAACACATTCACTTTCATTAGTGAATACAATTTCCAGTTCTCTACACGCGGTGAACGTAGCCTGCTGTTGATCCGTTATGCCCCTGAAGTCTCTCTTTAACTGCCTCCACCTCCCTCAGTACTATACTGAAGTCTGACGTCGACCAGAAGAGGTCACATGTGACTTTTCTTTGATCAACTAAACAGAAGTTTGAACTCGCCACTAACACAATCCAGATTTCTCATGGCGGTCATCCAGTCAGCCGTGTGTTATAAACAGTCCTTCACTTTCAATTAACCCATTCATTTCACAACAAAGTATATTTTAGTTGCATGATGTACGGGATACATACAGTATATATTATCCAGCTTTGCGTTTGATGAGATGAAACTCTGATGGGCTCCTGCGGTTTAGTTCGGTGAATTAGAGTAGCGCAGAGGAACCTCGGTCGCCACAGTTTCAGATCAGTGTGCCTCCACTCTCCCGTCTGAAGACTGTGGCTTCATGGCTGAAACCGGGCCTCTGCTGCCTTCCTCACCACAAAGACGACAACTCCCTAAAAGATTATGAGCTCCTATGCTGCAGGAGTCGCATGACTTGACCACAGGCCTAAATTACAAAGTGGCTTTCCTTCAGAGGAGCGCCTTTGTGTCAGTTAAGCTTGTGCGACCTTTTCTATCTCTGTTCCGCCTCTCTCTCTCTCTCTCTCTCTCTTTTTTTTTTTTTTTCCCAAAAAGTAAAAGTGTGGCTCCTTTATTTGTTCTCAAAGTAATTAATGTCTCTCGATGGTTGTGGGTTCATCCGATTGTATGGGGGAGGGCGTGGTCTTTAAATACTTACCCGACCCCCTCCAGCACACAAACAGGAAGCTGCTGTAGTCATTTCCTTTGGATAGTGTTTCAAGGCTTATAGTTTTACTAATGAGGCCAGATGTGAAACACACATTCAGTCATTTTTTTTTTACATGTTACTCTCGTTGCCTCCCCTGATTCAACACACTTTGATTGACTGCCTTCAATGCTGATTTACATGTTAAATTGTAACTCTGAAGACGCATAGCCAAATGCTCACAATCTGGAGGGTAGTGTACACACACACTAGTCCTATCATTGCTCCACTTGGATCCTCATTGCTCTGGAATCTGCAGTGCCCAGCCCCATTGTGTGATAGTTGTCCCCTTTTAAAGTTGTTGTAATGCAGTTCCTCAGGTGACGGCACACTGGTGGGAGGTCCCAGTTCATAGGACACCCGAGACACCGCTCACCCTCTAATTACAGCTTCCCCGATCCTTTGATCTCAGCAGAGCGTCGGTATCGAGGCACAAACAACAGAGAAGTCCCCCCCCCCCGTGTTACGTGGGCTCCCTCACAGCTTCAAGGAGACAGCTGTACTGTTGTCATCCTGCCAGCACATCAAAGACCTGTGTTTTTACTTCCTTGTATGTTCAGGTCACATGCTGTGAGGTGGAACAGCAGTCGAGTAACCCAGAGTAGCCCCGGTGTCTTCGTCAACATCCTCCGGCTGACCCGTGTGGCATGTGCATTTATTTCTTCAGTGCTGCATTGTGGTCGCGTTTCAAAACAAGCCTCAGCCACAAATTATTTTAGAAACGCCCCATTTTAGCTTCTTTTTTTTTTTTGTTTTAATACAGAAGGCAAATAGGGGACCTCTCTTTCTTTCTTTATGCTTGGACAGATCTTATCGCATGTATTCAGTTTTCATTATTCATACAGCCGGCTCTTTGTTTTGACTCTGCCCTGTTTTATTTATGGAAGTCACGTTCTGTGGCTGCAGCTACGAGGTGGAGATCCCAAAGCTTCAGGCTGTTTGGAACTTTTTCTAAGTTTCCATGTGCTGCTTCAGGGTGCTGGTTATTGTGCATGCAGACTGTCCCAGTGTCATGGCTTGTCTGGGATAGAACAGGGCCATCCTTAATGTTATTAGTAACACCTGTGTTTCTCCTATATGACGAGCCAGAATTACTGCTATGAAAAATATGCTCAGTCGTCTAATTTCCGAGAGTGAGATGAGATTAAGTCTCATTTCTGTGCAGAGTACGTATCTCAAGTCAGGATGTGTTTGGCTTGGCGCAGAATAATTTGTGATGGAGCTATTTCTGCCGATCAACAGCCAGGAGCTACGAGTGTGCACAGTCGCCCCGAGTCTTTTTCCCCACAGTGTGGTTGCCAGATTTGGTACCTTACCTTTTGTTGTTGAAACCAAAACCTGCGCTCAATGACGGCATCTGGCCACCTGTGCCGTCACCAGAGACGCTGCATAGAACTGTTGACTGATGGACGCGTCACTCAACCTAAAATTACAAATTGACGTTGTTTTTTAACATTCCTTATTAAGTGTGGGTGAAACAACCACGATACATTGTGTAAATAAAACGTCTTAAGAGTTGTTGGACAAAGCTAGGCTAGCAGTGTAGCACTGTTTCCAGTCTCTATACTAAGCTAAGGACTCCAGTTCTGTACTCGATGCATTACCATGTGACAGCTGTCTTGGAAATAAAACAAATACATTTATTTATTTTAAATTAAATGATCTGTCATTTGGTCCAAGCCTGTTTTTATGAAATACATCAGCTAACTGTCCATTAACCGTGTGACTGTTTTACAGTGACTCGGCTCTCAGATCTATGCTGAGCGCCACACACACACACACACACACACACACACACACACACAGGGGCCCTGCAGGGTATACAACTGCCATCTCTAAACAATGATTAATGTCAGTGGCAATATGAAACCCAGCACTCCCCAAAGGCCGACTTGGTTTCTCCTCTCTGGGGCGGTTTCATCCTTCTAATGTGGTTGGAATACAGATGGTATGATCTTTTTAATGAATTAGACCGAATTGGAAACCCCCGCTCTGATTTAAACAAAGAATTGAGCTACACGACACACAGCCGTCATTGCGTGTAACTTGAGGTATACAGTGTGTATGTGCATTACATGTAGCAACACTACGAACGGAGATACTATTTCACAGAGTGCTTAAAAGCATTATGTTAGGTGTAGCTTTTTCTGGTCAGCGCAGTCTAAACGTGCCTTGAATGTAATGTCACTTCACTTTCAACTTTGTCTTTACTTCCCTCTCACACACACTTTACTTCTCACTCACTCACTCACTCACTCACTCACTCACACTCTCTCTCTCTCTCTCACACACTCACACACTCTCTCGCAGCTCATGTGAGCCCTGAGAAGGCTTTTCATTGAGCTCTGGATCACTTCCCAGCCTTCTCAATGGAGGAGCTGACGAGTGTTGGATCTGACAGATAGTCAAAGGTTCTGTCCTCTGAACTGACCGTTGCTAATGGGTTCTCCCACAGGAGAGAGGCCGTGTCTTTAAGATTTTCACGATGTGCAAGCATCCACAATTAATAGGCAGTTGACTTAAAATGCGGTACAGTCACGTTTCAAGAGACACAATTACAGATCAACTATAAACTCAACAACCAGATCAAACTATAAATGACCAAAATCCCAAGATCTTTCCGTAGCTCCCTTATCTTCACTTTCTCAAACATGCCTGAGTTTGACTCTTGCCAAGTTTGGTGCTTAGAGCTGTGGTTATCCCGGCTTACAGGCTGTTTGCTCTCTGAATAGGTGGGAGCTACAAATAGGGGAACTGACGGACCAGGTGTTGGTTGTTGGGAAGGTGTTGCCAACCGGCCAGGTCACCAAACACGACACTAATTTCAGACACCGGCCTGGCAGCCAGTAATTGAGAGTCTAATCCTCTTTGCTGTCTATTCATATTCTCGGACATCGTGCAGCTTTACCCGTGAAGAACAAGAGGGAGACTTTGTGTGTTTGTGCACGCACTTTTTCTTGGTCTGTTGGGTGTTGACAGTTCAACAGAGTTGAGACACATTCGGTCCAACTGTTTGTCACAATGAACAATCCTTGTGAACTCACCTGGATCAACAAGGTGTGTGACCTCTAAAGAGCCTCTTACCTGTGGCCAACACTCACAAGAAGCCTTGCGTGTGCAAGGCCACAGGCTGACTCATCTATTCTCCTACAATGTCCAATGTGTGGGGTATCATTGCAATGAACAACTACATGCATGCAATATAACAAAGACATGTGTTTGAGTTGGAGAGGTTAGGATTATATGGCCCTGGAATTAGCTTGTTTGCTTCAGCCTTCCTCTGTCTATGCACTGGACCCTGCAGCTGGACTGCTCACACATTCTGGTTGCAACCATTGTACAATTTTCATAAATCCTGTTTATCAAAAAGCAACCCAATGTGCTTTCAAATGAAAAGTTTCCCTCCAACTACCAACCATTGTGCACTCTCTGCGTAAAGCAGCATCTCTTGGCTGGGTTTTCTTATAAACAAACAAAAGTTATGTTCGCATTCAGTATTTCTCATCAAAACGCAATGTGTCTAGCAACTGCACATTTCCTTTCTCGGTGAACACTTTGTTCCATATTTTAAAACCTACATTATTTACGTCCATGTTTGCTAGCTTGTAGTCTTCCACTTTCTTGCCTGAATTGTCCCCATTCTTGATCAGAGGTACACCACCACTCCATCTAATCTATCCCACCACACTAGGCGGTTCAATACCCTCACAGAACCCTCTTACAGCCTTTGCCTGGGAGCGGCTCCCAGAATGAGATTTGTCTGAGGATAATTGGGTTAGAGAAAGACTTGGAGTGCGGGACGAGGCCGTAACATCATCCAGGTAGCAGAGCGTGGTATCGACTGTAGTAGAGAGATCAACAATTCATCGTCATGACTCATAATCCCATAAACATGTGAGTCGGTGTGAGGGAAATATGAGCGCTCCACAGTAAAATGAATAGTTAAAGCCCCTCTAAATCCATCACAGCATCACTGTTAAACTGTATCCCACAACCGTGAGGTGCATTAATGTGGGCGTGTGTGTAATAGTATTACTGAGTCAGCCTTGTGGCGCGGCTGATTGAGTTAACATATTTGGGAAAAGTCTTTCAGGTTGAGGCGTAGAAACCAGATAATGAGTTGAGCATGTGGACGGTGAAACTCGAGCTGCGTTCGATGATTTGAGTGGAAAGGCCGTCGTGACACTGATACCACTTTCACTCAGCAACCTTGTGTTTGACACAGCATGGTAAATCCACTGTTCTGTATTTGTAGCGCTCAAACCCCGGGTCAATGTCTGGTCCCTGTCCACCATTCGTATAAAACCTAATGTACAGTAACGGTGTGCTTTTAACAGACTTTTCAAGTTTCAGTTCAATGAAAATAGTTGCTTCTGTGTTTTTATAATGGAGATTTGTTAATTCATGTTGGTTTAAATGGGGTTTAAACTATGATTTTGGTTTGGGGAAACTCTTTTTGTGTATTTCATTGTATTATTTTACTGATGTGTTGTAATGGTCTCATTGTTTGTTTCTTTTTTTCAGAGCAAGGAAATAGCCTTTCAGCTCCAGGAAGACTTAATGAAGGTCCTTAATGAGCTATACACAGTAAGTAGTAACGACTTTTTAAACGAATGCAACTACATCGGTCTTTGCTGTGGTTGAGACTGGTTTACAGCTGTGAGCTGCCAAACTTCAAACTATTTGTAACGTCTACTACAGCTTGGAGTCTTAAACCCTGGAGCTTAAAGGTGTCTGAAGGATCAAATATTAAACTTTGAAGCAAATAGACAACCACCAAAGTGATTGCTCAAACTGTAGGGAAAGTCTGTCTAATCTCTTTTACCCAAATTAACTGGAAATTCAAACTGAAGTATAAACATTATGTTCGCTTGACTCATTACAGTTCATGTTCTCTTTTTTTTTAATGGCTTTCATCATCTTAGTTTTCTTGCTCTTCAAAACAAACTCATGCAAAGCCACACCAGACGGTTGGAGCCAAATAGCAACTTGTGGATACATTTACTTTAAAGAAGAAAATAAGCGTACTTCTTTTTTTGCATTGTCGCCTTCATTCAAAAGTTTACAGAGACAGATGAGAAGCCTGGGGAGAGAGCGAGAGTGAATACACGCAACAAAGGTCCCCAGTTGGAATTGCATGTAGCAGTGGCTGCAGACCTTTGAACCCAGAGGATGAATTATTTTGGGGGAGGGGCTTGGTAACATTTCACCAGACCATCAACGTCTTGTTTTTCTGTCCAATGCCTTTGCTGTAAGTAGTTGTCTGTGTGAAGCTCTGACCTCAGTGGAGAAAGGTATTTAAAACCATGAATAGATGGCTGATTCCACTGTGGTAATCGCCCCAGTCAGCCCTGCTAGCCTGCTGGCTAAGTTGTTGAACAATCAGGTGCTGGTGTATTCTTAGACAGGACGACTGGATGGTTTAGAGGCCGTGTGTGTGTATGTGTGTATATGTGTATATGGATGGATGGATGGATGGATGGATAGATATCTATCTATAGATAATACGGGTTTACAGTGTGATATGAGCTACTTTAGGTCATTCACAGGCATCAACAATGACAAACAGAGAAACGAATACATTAGAGCCATGCTGTTAATCTGTGTGTTTGTGGCATCCCTCAATCTTGTCATTCCTTCCTACTGATCAATGTCACTGCGTTGAGCCTCCTCATTGATCATCATGGTAACCTGGGAAGATAAAAGTGGAGGCAGCTTCCCCAGAGTTTGAGTGAAAAGCAGCTGAGCTTGCTCATACAGCCTCCAGTTACTCGCTGTAGAGGATTACAGTGGTTACATTTCCAGTCGATGGCCGCACTGCTCCAAACACAACAAACGTGTTCCTCCAAACTCAATGTGTGTCACTCTCGCCACAGTCCACACTCCACTTTTGACCTGGTTTAGCCCCCTGTGGGAAGACACACACACACACACACTGATTAGCTGTTGCATCTACAGTCCCGATGTCGAACTCCGCCAATGAAATAACAGGTCTGCTCCGTCTCTAAATATGTCCCTCTAAAAGAAACACCAAAGTAAACACTGCAGCGGCAGACTCCAGACCAGTAAGTGAGGCGTACAGGACCCAAGGTCAGTCACCCATCTCTAAACTGGTTCCAGTTAGGCCAAACCCCACCAAAGGCAAAAGGGCTCCAGACAAACCAGGCTCTGCTTCGTTGTTCCACTCGTACAGAAATAACTCGGTTTGGGCGAACGATGTTTAGATTTTGAGATGGGTGTCTCTCTATTTGTACTGAAGTTGAGGTCTTGTGCAGACGAGTGACTGCATATATCGGTTTTGGAGCTGTAATTTGTTGGACTTGGTTAATTCCAGGTTAAACCACGGGTGCTCTATATTGCCACCTTTTCCTTTGAGTTTGAATGTATTTTCTGCCTTTTTGCATTTTGCCAGCTGCCATGGACCCAGGCTCGTGAACCTTTACAGAAGGATGTTAGACGTTAGCTTGTATTTTGCAGTTGGTACTTTGCAAGGTGGCAGCTCCAAAACATTTGATTAATGCAGTTTCCTCTTGAGAGTTTAAGTTTTATTCTTGCATACCCAACACCAGAATTCTGTTTGGGAAAATAATCTGCAGTGTCTAGGTGGCGGACGATGGGACGCTACTTTCTACTGGAGTCCGTATAGTTATGTGATATAAAATCTATAAATGCATGTGTTGGGGTTCTCTTGCTGATGACCTCATGTTAGCATCATGGATGACAACATTTCTCCCACAGCCAGTGGTTCATCTGCACCGTCCTCTGAGCCCCCACATGTGTCCGTTCTCCCTTCTCCTGACGACGTGCGCCAGCGTTAATGATAAGACGTTAATAATCACTCGGCTCTCTTGAAGAACTCATTGTTTGTGTTTTGTGGTCTACCTGCTACTTAATGATTGAGTCATTGTCTAAGCGGTCCATGGAGAATGTATGAGTAACACTGGCTCTGAAGGTGATGACTCAAACTTGAAGAATTAGTTCTAATCAGCTGCTCACCATGAAGGAGTATTAGAAGCATATGCTGCTACATGTGAACCAGAAATTAATACCAAACGCTCGAGCCAGCAAGGTGCAACACAGGACAGAAACATTTGAACGTAAAGCCATTTATTATAAAGTGCTGATAATCCCATTGTCTTGACTTTACTTGTATCGACTGCAAAGGCGAGAGCTGAATCGTCACTCAAAGAGCAGTCGACCTCTGTCTTAATAACCTCATGTGAAAACCAGAGGACCAACCCAAATCTTTTCCAAACACAGATCAGTGAAGTTGGATTTAGCTGCAGTGATTTGCGGTGGTTGTGGTTGTACAAGCATCAGATAAAGAGGCTACAGAGAATCTGGCTCTGGTTTGTGGCGAACCGCCTGCTGTGAGAGGAGTCGATCTGTGATGACTGAGCGGGTCAAAGGATGGAAGCCTTAGTTGTGGGTTATAAAAGATTGGTCTTGACTATCAAGATGGATTATTCTGACCTTTGACCTCGCAGGAAGTGACCTGAAACTCACACCAACACAGCCGGTTTCAGGACGCTGCCTTTTGCCAATCTTGAAAAGGAAAATGATTACAAACAGGCCTTTTGGAAAATATTTTTCTTTGCAGCCTATTGACAAGTTTGTTTGCCTCCAGGTGATGAAGACGTACCACATGTACCACTCGGAGAGCATCAGCGCCGAGAGCAAGCTGAAGGAGGCGGAGAAGCAAGAGGAGAAGCAGATCGGCAGGGGAGAGCAGGTCTTCAGCATCCGAATGGAAGACAAATACCAGAGACGCAGCTCGGTGAAGAAGATCGAGAAGATGAAAGAGAAGGTGGAATTTAGTAGAGAACATTTTTAAATCCAGTTTGGACAACTGCATTGAAATTTAGTGACACACCATTTTCTTTTTCATCGAGTAGTCTTGAACACAACAAAATATCTGATTAGAAAACTTGACAGCACGGCCTTTTCACCGATGTCCTGCTGACCTGAGTAAAGGAAAGCACACTGAAAGCATCGTCACAGCCAAAGAGCCGGCTTTGTTTTCTCAGACGTGCTTTCTGTTAAGTCTCTGACAAAATGATTCAATGGCTTTTTGAACACGACTCTTCCTGGAATGCTTTTGGGAAGTGTTAAAATATGAACGTGTCGGAGCCCATTGGTCAGTGGATGGTGACTAACTACCAGCCTTGTGTTTGTCTGGTAGTGAGGAAGTGTAGCATAAAGACAGATGGCTCACACGGAGGTATCCTCGTTGAATTGAAGGACGCAGGCTGCTTTTAGTTTAGGCTTTTCTTTTTTCTCTTTTTGCTATTTTTAAACACAATGCAACTCATTTCTCCTCTAGTGTTTATTAAAGCTGTTGTTTTGCCACTAATCCAGTCTCAGCTTGGAGACATAAAAGCACAGTCACTTGTCAAAAAGGCAATTCTCTGCTCATTAAATTCATCCTCCCTCTGTTGTCTTTTTCTCATTCTACGCCTCTGATTCTCCTCATCAGCGTCAAGCCAAGTACTCTGAGAACAAGCTGAAGTCGATCAAAGCGCGGAACGAGTACCTGCTGACACTGGAAGCGTCAAACTCCTCCGTCTTCAAATACTACATCCACGACTTGTCGGACTTAATTGATGTGAGTATAAAACCGCATGCTTTTGTCAGCTCTGTTCTGGAGGCAGCTTCATCTTCAGCACAGGCTTGTTTGTCTCCAATGAGACAGGGAACAGTTTTTGCTGAGGACATCCTTGCATAAACAGAACACACAAGTTGCAGACACCTGAGGTAGATTTTATGTTGTTTCTCTGTGCTCCTCTCGCAGGAGAGCCTTTTATTTTTCACAGACTTTTAGAATAGATTTAGGATCATCAGAGAAGGAGAGGCTGATGACTTTAGCAGCTGGGCCTGATATAAAAGAGATCTGAGGACACCAGACTGTGGGATGGAAATTACAGTGTAGGACTAAATTAAAGCAGCGTTTTAACTTTTGTGATCAAAACTAAAAATAAACTCTTAACTTCTCCTCGTGTCATTATTGAAAACCCACATCGTATATTCAGTTCTACCGTGTTTTGCTGACACTTTGTCACTGCTTGGAAAATGTTTCCACATCTCTCAGACTTTGTGAGTGGACTGTGACTTACAAACCAAGTGTTCTTTGTTGTCGTCATGTCCCGCTGTGGCTCATCACTCCATTCTCTACAGCACCCACAAGCACCCGCAAGCAGTCTGCTTTGCCTGACCTTTTTCTGCTACCGGACCAATAAACATGAGTTATTTATAATATGGCTCACCTTGTTAGAGAAATAAACTCACCGTGTCATCTGCTGTAGCATTTCTAAGGAAATGGGAGAAGGCCATGTTTTTAGCTAGCGCTTTGGGCTTTTATATTCCAGACAGGACTGAAGGAGAAGAGAAATGCAGCCTCTATTCAGAGGCATGCTGTGCGGTGAAATTACCCCTCTCTCTGCTTTGCTCACTAGCCTTCATCGTGTGTGTGTGTGTGTGTGTGTGTGTGTGTGAGTGTGAGTGAGAGAGAGAGAGAGAGATGCGCTCTGCGTGAGCTGTATTGTGCAGGCTCACACACATTTGTTTATTGATGAAGGGGACTTTTTATAGTCGATAACAAAGTGTACAAGGTGGCTGGTACTGGTATTGTTTTGCCTATCACTCAGGTCGTGTGTGTGTGTGTGTGTGTGTGTGTGTGTGTGTGTGTGTGTGTGTGTGTGTGTGTGTGTGTGTGTGTGTGTGTGTGTGTGTTTGGGTGCCTGGGGCCTGTGTGTCTTCCCAGGAGAGACCTTGGCCAGGCTTCTAGTTATTAAAACTCAGCATTAGTTCCTGGAGGTAACATTCATTAACACAGAGGCAACACTGCTGACTCAGAAAGTGCAGGACTGTTTACGATGGAAACTTGTCTTATTTAAAGGTCCATCTCTATTCTTTGACCATATATCGGTCAATTAAAGGTATATTTGCTCATATAATTTAAGACTTTAATTCATAGAATTATGTTTGCACTGACTATATGGAATTATTGGCCTGTTTTCCTCCTGTGTTTATGAACATAACAGCTTTTAAACAGCATCAGAAAACTTTAGTGACTTGGATTGGAGAGCTGAACGTCAATCGACAGAAAATCATTTTAATCATTTAATACATTTTTCATGCAAGTTCCAGATTCTCGTGTGAATTTCTAATGTTTTTATTTGTCTTTCGTGATTGTATATCAATCATTTTGGGGTTTTGGACAGTTGATCAGCAAAACAAGCTGTAGCTTGAACTTTAGGGAATTGTTTTTTTCTTCATAGAATGAATAGTTCATGTTGAAAATAATCAGCAGATTGTCAATGACAATAAGGAAGTAATAGTTTCGTTATCAGTCTAGTGTTTGTGCATCATGAGACCTGTAGGATCCCGTTGACCCTCTTCTTTCCTCTCTTCCAGTGCTGTGATTTGGGGTACCACGCCAGTCTGAACCGCGCCCTGCGCACCTACCTGTCTGCCGAATACAACCTCGAGACGTCACGCCACGAGGGTCTTGACATCATAGAGAACGCCGTGGACAGTCTGGACCCACGGAGCGACCGACAGAGGTTCATGGAGATGTTCCCCACGGCCTTCTGCCCACCGCCAAAATTCGAGTTCCAGTCTCATATGGGAGACGAGGTACGCAGCTCAGACCACATTTAGCTGTGACGATGAACTCAACTAAAGAGGAGAAAGAAACCTGCAAAAATACACCATACTCGTATGAGTTTTAAAATGCTTTGTTTCCAAGTCACTGTAAAAAATAACATGGAAGTGAATTTGGAGTTGATTTAAAAAAAAGTCTCAGACTTAATGAGGTCTGATTTCAGTGGCTTAAGTGCAGCATTTTACTGCGTCTGGGCTGCCAGATCAGGTTTTATGGGCCACAGAATTTGACAAATCATCTGTTAATTCTCCCCCTGCAGTCATGTAGCTCAACATGTGTTCAGAGTTTTACTGTTTGGCGAGCACTACCAACGCTGATATCATGTCTGTTAACCAGCTGTTGTTGTGTGGCTGTCTGCATTTAGTCGCTGCTCTGCAATTGAAGAAGAATTTGGACTCCTGCGCCTTGTTTAAACCGGAGGTTACGTGGCCTAATGTTCCTTCAGCGGGCTCCTGATCATTGATGATGTATTTCCGTTTTTTTTTTTATCCAGGTGTGTCAGATCTCAGTGCAGCCAGCGGTGAACGGAGAGCTCATCCTGAGGTTCCAGCAGCTTCAGTCTCGCCTGGCTACCCTGAAGATAGAGAATGAAGAGGTAAAGCAGCGCAAATAAATCAAACTCGTGACACAGCAGAGACGCAGCGATTGCAATTTCCTTGGCAAATTCCAATTCTTTAAATGTCTGAACCGCCAATTTCCGATTTTCTTTCATTCTAAGAACTATATTTGATACCATGCGAATACATTTTGGGGATTTTTTTTTTTCTTTCATGGAAAATTGAAATTCAATTGGTTGTTCAAAACATAACAGGTAGTCTTTCCAAATGTGTAAAGGTTGTTCCTATGGCTTATTTTTGACTGTTACAAAGTGTGTGTGTGTGTGTGTGTGTGTGTGTGTGTGTGTGTGTGTGTGTG